CCCCCCCCCCGGTGATTGCCATCGGGGTTGGGTATTCGTCGCTTGACAGCGACGTCGTACAACAAGCCGAACACTTCGGGAGCTCGGCAACCTGGTTACTGTTTTTTTTTTTGCTTCTGCTTTTGTTTTTTTTGCGGCAACCATTATGGTGGCCGAGTAGATTGTGTCGTGCAGGGTCGAGAACCCTCACTCCGCGCAAAGGGGATGATCGCACCACGTTGTGTTACAATTGGTCAAGCACGCTCGAGGCAGTTACACAACAATGCATGTGTATGACTGTCTCTGGAATTGAAAGCACCAGACAATAAACTAAGTCATACGCAGCTGTCATCCGTATGCAAGGAAGTGAGCACAAGATCCCGAACACCCTTAGCAGGATACAGCGCACCCTTCATGCGACTCGCCGAATACCTCACGGCGCTTCGCGCTTGGTGATGTGAGAGCCTGGTCCGGTGAGAACCCGGCGTGCTCCGTCCCGGCTTTGTAGGGGTGCGAGGTCAATGGCCTAACGACTACGGCATGCACGACAACGACTATTCCCTCCCCACCCCTCCACCATGATCCGTCCTCTTTAGAACGCGTAGTAAATGTCTACCGCGAAGGCATGCAAAACATAAGAGTGCGCCCCCCCCCCTCCCCCCACCCCACCCCTCTGCGTTTCCCGGCGAATCGGTGATCTACGCAAGGCCCGAGCACAGCAGAGCCTGAACGACCGAGTCTCCAGCGAGGAAAGCGCCCTCCGGCTGGGCCTCGCCAACTCGGAGCAGAACGTCGAGGCTCTGACCTCGCGGGTGTCCGGCCTCCAGCGGACCGTCGAGTCCCAGTGCGCCGCCCTCCAGCGCTCCGAGGCCTGCCTCTCGACCGGCCGCGAGGAAGCCCGAACGTTGGCGGCATCCCTGGACGCGGCGACCGCCCGGGGGGACGCCCTTGAGTCCGACCTCGCCGCCCTCCGCGCGCTCACGGGGGCCGCCACCGGGGAGTTGCGGGAGGAGGTGGCGTTGCTCCGGGCGCAGGTGGACGGGGCCGAGAGGACCGCGGCCGAGTTGAAGGCGGAGGCGGAGGCGGCGACCGCGGCGGCGGCGGCGGCGGCGGCCAGAGCAGCGGCCGGCGAGGCGAGACAGCAGGAGAGCGCGGATGCGCTCTCTGTGCCTAGTCGCCAGGGTGCTGATGCTGGTGCTGTCGAGCGCCTGGTCGATGGCAGCAGCAACAATCCCGCGCGGGCCGGGGAAAGCGACGGCAACGACGAGGACAAGGGCCTCTCGCGCCCCTCCGTTCACGACACCCGCCTGCAGTCCCTGGGCCTGGAGCTGGAGTCCGTCGGCCTTCTTGCGAGGGAGGCAGTGGCGTCTGTCACGCGTGTTGGCGGCTGGGCCCCCCCTTCTCCCTCCCCTACCGGAGGAAGGGACGGGGGCGGCGACGGCGACGGCGAAGGCGACGATAATTCCGTGCTCGGAAGACGAGACGCCTGTGTCGGCAGAGCAGTTCTCCCGCAAGCGGAAGAGAAGGAGGAGGAAGGGTCGAGGGCGAACTTCGGGGGGGGAGGGGGAACGCAACATGACGATGATGATGATCGTGATGAGATCGGCCAGATGTTGGCCGTTGCCGGGCGGGCGGCCGCGGACGTGGAGTCCGTGCGTCGGGCGCTTGTCGTCGCCGAAGAGAAGGTGAGGCCCACGCGTGACGGAATGAGCCGGGATAGCGACGGCACCACGGTATGTAGCAGGTTCAATGTGATGGTGTAACCAGGGGATGGTAGATCCTGCTCGGTGCGTAGTTCTGGAGCGAGTCTGCTGGTCCGAGAAAACAGCGGCAGTGTTTGCCTTATCCTCGCAAAGCGCCGTTGTGGGCAAGAAGGAAAGGAAGGTACAAAATATTTTTGACATGTTGTTCCGGAACCAAGTAGACAACCGTCTGGCCAACATACCCACCACATGCACAAGGGATGTAACCACACTGCGCTTCTTTTTGTTTTTCGGCAGATGGTCGGCATGCAGGCGGAGGTTGACGAGGCTGTCCGGGAGACAGACCGCCTTCGAGCGGAGAATGCGACGTTGGAAGAGTCCCTCTGCGAGGTATGCATGTGCAGTAGCAGCAGCGGCAGCCAGCCCCCTCGCTGTCCACCACCCCGCACGGGCAGTAAACCGCTGTCTAGGTTAGCCTACGGTACCTTGACAAAGGCAACGGCCCCGCTGACAGTGAGAAGCAATCGCGCGCCTCCCTGCTGTCCTAACCTGACGACTCATGAACCAGCTCGTCGACAGCCCGCTTAACCTATCCCTAACCCAAAGATACGACGAATGCGTCTTTGTTTCTCCCACGCGACAGGTTGCCGACGCCATGTCCAAGAGCCTGCCGACGCGGGACCGGGTACCCTTGACGGAAACCGGTCCCGACAGCGTTTCCCCCGCCCCCACCAACTCTTCGCTAGAGAACCCCCACTACCCACTCCCCGGAGAAACAGAAGAAGGATTCGAGCCGACGGGAGTCAGCAAAACTGCTGCCATCACGCAGGAATCCCTGCGAGAAGATGCGTCTACAACGGCGAAGGCGCCGACGACGACCGCAGCTAGGGTGTCGACGAACCTGGAGGCGGCCAGGGCCGACGCTCTCGCCCGAACAAACACGTTCCTGCGCGGTCTCCTCGACAGCCTCGTCGTCGCTGATGGCGGCGGCGATGGTGGCGACGGATTCTCCGCCGAACACAGCAACCCTGCCGCGACAATACCGGAGCAAGAGCAGGAAGCAGGAGGGGTTTACGACGGCGATGGGGGGGCGGACCAAGGGGGACACCGTCGCGACGTCAACGACTCGGTGCGGCACCCCCGCCGCCGCCGGGAAAACACGCGGCGGGACTCCTCCCGGTTCGCTGGCGTGCAGCAGCAGCACGAAGCGGCGTCAGTGGCGCCGCTTCGTGGCGAGGACCGGGTGGAGGAGCGGTCCTCGCCTTCGTCCTCTGGCCTCTCGCGGGCGCTACGCTCTCTGGTCGATGCTCTCCAGGAGAGGGACGCCAGGGCTCAGCTGCTCGAGGACGAGCTGACCCGCGTGCGGCAGGGTGCGGTTGCCGCTGCCGAGGCTGCTTCGATGAGGGCGGAGGTGGGCGACTCGAATGAAGCGCCAAGAAGACGGCCCTTTGGGTTGCTCTTGTTTCGTTGGTGTCTTCTTCCCTTTCTCGCTAAACATACAAAGAGACTACCCATTCGAGATATACCCACGGCAGTCAAAGGGGATGTGTCGAAGTCTTCACAGTGAGTGGAGAGAAAGCGGCTGGATAGTGGGCATATATTGGGTATATTTACGCCGATGCACTGAATCTTTTTCAGTGATGCCAGCAGGCACAAGTCTCTTTTATTCCTTTCGGTCGGTCGTGTTGGCCGTGAAAAGGACTCCATACCAGCAACTTTTTTGTTCTAGAAGCCCACCATATGTCTACCACCCTCGCCCCATGATTCCCTTTCAACAAAAGGTTGAAAGCTTGAAGGCATCCCTTGCGGCGACCGAAGCCGAACGCCTGGAGTTGGAAACCCTCTTGAAGGATGCCTCACACGGGGCTGAAGCAGCTTCTCGAGACACGGAGGCACAGGTGGACGCGTTGAAGGCAGAGCTGGAAGCTTCCGGGAGAAAGGTGGCTGCCGTCAACGAGGAGAGGCGCCAGATCGAAGTAAGGCACTGCTGTTCTGTTGCTGCTGCTGATGGTGATGATGATGATGCTAACGCTGATGCTGATGCTGATGCTGATGATGATGATGATGATGATGATGATATTGTTTTTTTCTGCTGCTGTCGTTGTCGCTGTTGAATGTTGCTCTTGTTGTTGTTGTTGTTGTTGTTGTTGTTGTTGTTGTTGTTGTTGTTGTTGTTGTTGTTGTTGTTGTTGTTGTTGTTGTTGTTGTTGTTGTTGTTGTTGTTGTTGTTGTTGTTGTTGTTGCTTTGTGACCGTCCGTTGTTGTGCCTGCTGTTGCCGTGTGTGTGATTTGTGATGGTTGTTCTCACCACCGTTGCACTTGGTCCGACGTGCTTCGTTCTTCGTTGGGGCTGCCCTTTGAGCCGCATCCACCATTCGCCATTCGCCGGTACCAAACGCTTGAAAATCAAATCACCCGTGCCGGTCGGACCCACTCCCCTGGTGTCCTTTTCAACAACAACGACAAACTCATGCAGGAGGCGTTGGCCGACGGGCAGGAAGGGTTGCTGGCTCTACGAGAGGCCCTTGAGCGTACCGTTGACGCAGCAAGGGGTCTGCTAAAGAGAGCGGAGGCGGTCGCGGCGGACGCTGAAGCCGGAGAGGTGAGGGGGGACTACGCCGCACCTATTGATCACGAGCAAGAGGTCTATGCCCATGTCAGCCTGGGTTATATTTGATGTCGAACGGACGGCACAGTGGAAGCATAGCCAGAGCAGTAGATCATATCTCGTACCGAGTAGGGGGGGCTGCTTTTGGGTGTACTCGGCAGGAAACGAAACTAAGAGGTCTCCGGAGGGGGGTACGCATATATATATATATATTTATTCGTGATGGGTGTGATGGACTTGACGCGCTAGACTCTGCTTGCCTGCCCATGTCTTACTCTCTTGATGTTCAGGGAACTTGAGTTACTCCTTGGAGCGAAACGCTCTCGACAAGAGCCCGCGAGCGTGACAACATAGTACACGCGCGGACACCCCAAACACGAAAGGACGGCACAGTGGAAGGATGGCCAAAGTGTGCCGCTATCGAATGCCTTGTGCCACTCGCTCTTCACGTACACTGCACGCACGCACGGTTATCTATGGTCACACACGCTTGGTGTGTACTCCTTTCCGCGATGCTCCATGGATCACCTTGCAAACGAAAGCGAAGCTAGCCTCCATGAACGAGAAAAGAGCATCAACCGCAATCCCCCCCTACCTTCAAACGTTCTGCAGGTGGAAACCCTGGAGGCCGAGCTTCGATGCCTGGAACGCCGCGCTCCTCACAGCTGGAGAAGAGCATCATCGACAGCCGCACACCACCGCCGCCGCTCCGCTTCCCCCCCCCGCCTCCCGCTGTCTGCTGGACGGGGACTACGCTCCGCGGTAGACCCTAGTTCCTCGTGGCCGCAACCGCGGAGCCCCTCCACGGACGGGCGCCGTGTTTCGTCAATGTGTGGCGAAGATTTCCGATACAGCGGAAGGCGACGCTTGGGGGCTGTGCGCGGGGCGGGTGGTGTGCGGCATGGGCAGGGCGTCCTGGATGTGGGTTCGGATGGAGGAGACCGGGGGACGGGGGCGGCGGGGATTGAGGCGGAGGCGGCGGCGCACGAGGCCGCAGCGGAGGTGAGGGACGGCGGAAATAGGGGGGTATACGTAGGGGAGAGGGGCGGGGGTGGAGGTAAGGATGGGGAGGGAGGGAGGGAGGGACAGAGACAGAGACAGAGAGAGAGACAGAGACAGAGAGAGAGACAGAGACAGAGAGAGAGACAGAGACAGAGAGAGAGACAGAGACAGAGAGAGAGACAGAGACAGAGAGAGAGACAGAGACAGAGAGAGAGACAGAGACAGAGAGAGAGACAGAGACAGAGAGAGAGACAGAGACAGAGAGAGAGACAGAGACAGAGAGAGAGACAGAGACAGAGAGAGAGACAGAGACAGAGAGAGAGACAGAGACAGAGAGAGAGACAGAGACAGAGAGAGAGACAGAGACAGAGAGAGAGACAGAGACAGAGAGAGAGACAGAGACAGAGAGAGAGACAGAGACAGAGAGAGAGACAGAGACAGAGAGAGAGACAGAGACAGAGAGAGAGACAGAGACAGAGAGAGAGACAGAGACAGAGAGAGAGACAGAGACAGAGAGAGAGACAGAGACAGAGAGAGAGACAGAGACAGAGAGAGAGACAGAGACAGAGAGAGAGACAGAGACAGAGAGAGAGACAGAGACAGAGAGAGAGACAGAGACAGAGAGAGAGACAGAGACAGAGAGAGAGACAGAGACAGAGAGAGAGACAGAGACAGAGAGAGAGACAGAGACAGAGAGAGAGACAGAGACAGAGAGAGAGACAGAGACAGAGAGAGAGACAGAGACAGAGAGAGAGACAGAGACAGAGAGAGAGACAGAGACAGAGAGAGAGACAGAGACAGAGAGAGAGACAGAGACAGAGAGAGAGACAGAGACAGAGAGAGAGACAGAGACAGAGACAGAGACAGAGACAGAGACAGACAGAGAGAGAGAGAAGTCCAAGCCTTATTTCTGCACCACGTGAGCGTGTCCAAGATGTGATGAGTTGGAGAAATGTGGTTCTCACTGATGTTGTCATGGACTCTTCGCGGACACAGCTTTTTATCTTCCAGTAACGAATCAAAAAGGAGAAATAGTTAGCCATTTTGTTTTTCTTAAAACGTTTCCGCACGACGCATTTTTTTTCAATAAGCGCCTCTCCCTCGTACACCTCCGCACATGTATACACCCGCCCAACCCGTCCAGGTGGAAGAGGCGATCCTCGACGTGGAGACGTTTCTTCTGCGACAGGGAATCGCTAGGGCGGCGGACGCGAGACACCGGGAGGCTGCTCCCCAGGCGGAGTCCCGGCAAAAGGTTTCGGCGGAGGCGGAGGCGGAGGCGGAGGCGGAGGCGGCGACCGAACGAGCGGTGAGATACGGCGTTCCGTCCCGCGTGGTTTTACGGGATTCGATTGGCTTTTCGCAGTTGCGTTAGGTGCGATACCACACCGCGGAGCCTTGCAGCGTAGAACGAACTCTACTCCCTGGCGGATGCATGCGAGCTAGCTCCTTTGGGTGTAGACTGCGTTTCTCCAACCACAAAGATGGGCGTTTGTGGCCTCGGCTGGTGCGTCCAAGCATACCGAACGGTGTACAATAGTGGCGACGTCCAGCGTCAACGTTACGGCAAAAAAAAAACACGACACGACACTCAAACCTCAAGGAGTAACGAGGGGGGGATACGCGGGGTATTTCTCGCTCTCGTTCTGTTTTTTTTTTGTGTTGTTTTCGCGTGCGCGGGGCCTTGCCTACGCGAGTGGCCATTATGTTTTGGTATCCGTGTGTATTACGAAGAAAGTCCTGGGTTGTATTTTACGTTGTTCAGTCGTCGTCAAACGAAGCGATATATTGGGGGGCGAGTGTCGCACCTCTTTTGCGAATTTCGTGCCACCTCTCCGCACGATGCGGAGAAACTTTGGAACGCGTACGCATTGATCTTGGCGAAGATTGTTTTGTGGCGGAATGATCGACCCGCATACAGCACCCGGGGTGTGTGTGTGTGTGTGTGCTTGTGTCAGTCCACCCCGATCGATATGTGTACATGTACGTATGGCATCCACGATTGACCATCTAAATATGCTATTGCGTGCCATTTGCTTGGCCTAAACTGCCGGGATCCGAAGTCGTAAGTAGTTTATGGTGCCTCACGAAGGAATAAGGTACAACCGTGGCGGATGTAGTTGAATACCGCCCTGGCCTATTTCTGAACGGTCATATGTCGCTTTCTCAGCGGCAGGCTCGATGGGAAGCTGAGAGGTCGTCGCTAGAGGCGCGCTTGGCTAGTTTGGAAGAGGAGGGGGCAAGCGTGAGGCGAGAAGCAGACGAGCAGGCGGCAGAAGTGGAGGCTCTCAAGACCCAGGTAACGCTGCCGGTAGCTACGCGAGTTTGTTGAGGTCTATCTCCTACCTGTCCCTCCCTCCCCCCCTCCCTCTCTCGGTCTGCACGTGCTCAGCCAAGCGAGATAATTTGCTCCCGTATTTTTTGGTGTTACAAGCAAGCAACCAATCTGCTGTAGCTTGTTTTAGTGTTTTATTCCCATTTTTTTTGTGCTCCTTTTTCCGTGGCAATGTCGAAGCAGCGCGAGAACCTCGTCCGGCGCGTGGCGTCGGCGGAAGCGGAAGCAGCGCTGGCCCGCGCGATGGCGGAGCGCTCCGCCTCCTCCTCCTCCTCCGCCCCGCCCTCGCACCAACAACAGCACCCGCAGCAGCAGCAACAGCAGCAACAGCAGCAACAGCAGCAACAGCAGCAACAGCAGCAAGGAAGCGGGGGCGAGGATTCCAACGGCACCGCCGCCGTACCGCCGCCTTCCCCGTCTGCTCTCACCGCCGTCGTCGATGCCGTCCCCTCCGACCACCACGCGGCCGCCGTCCTGGCCGCAACGCTCGCGGGCGCCCGGTCGGACCTGGGGTCGGCGCGCTCCGACCTGGGCCTCGCCCGCGCAGAGCTGGACGCCCTCCGGCAGCGGCTGTCGGAAGAGGAGGGTCACAGGCAAGAGCTGGAGCGACAGTTCCGTGCGGAACGGGAACGCAGGGAGAGCGAGGCGGTGTCGGAGGCTAGGGCGGCGGCCGCGGCCGCGGCCGCGGGCAGGGACGAGGTTAGTTTGCGTGTTGGGGGGCGGGGGGTTGCAGACCTGGACCTGCCAGCAAGAGGAAAGGCAGCAAGAAGTTTGGTAGAGGGATGAGTCGCGCCGTAGTGATCACTCCGCGCTGTTCCGGTTGGTCTGTCTGGTGGTGCACTTGCGTGGTACTGGCTGTATGGAGTATGTCCAACATTTATCTTTTCGTTAAGATTCCAAAGCAACGACACAATCATGCCAATCACAGCGGCAGCGACACCGAGAAAGCAAGCTACGACATAACCATTCCAACAATAGCACCCCCAAAAGATGCAGTACAGTGTACGACTGCAGTATGACGATTCCAACAATACCACCACCAGCACTGCCTCCCCTCCCCTCCCGTTCAGCTTCACACACAAGCACCACGATCCTGCCCCCCCTCCCGTTCACCTCACTGAAGTCCTGTCGGCTTTTCATACACTCAAATCATCCGTTCCGAACATCATCTAGGCGGAAGGCAGGCTCGACGTCGCCAAGAGAACAGTGACCGCCCTGGAGCAAAAATCGGGTGGGCTCGAGCAGAAGCTCGAGGCACTGGAAGCGGAGGCCGCGGCCGCGCGGTGCGCTCTTGCGGAGGCGGAGCGTGAGCGGGAGAGGCTGCAGGGGCAGAGGAGAGGGCTAGGGGAAGAGCTAGCCTCGGAGCGGAGGGCGGTCGCGGCCGCAGAGAGGCGGGCGGACAGGCTGGAGGAGCGGCAGGGTGGGCTGGAGAAGGAGTTGGAGGCGTCGCTAGTGCGGGCGAGGAGGGCGGAGGAGAGCGCGAGGGAGCTAGACGACCGCTTGCAGGTGTGTTTCGCTGAATGCAGCCCGTTTGGTGGTGGTGGTTGTTGTTGTTGTTGTTGCTGTTGTTGTTGCCGACGCAGCCGGGTCTGGTCAGCTGTCGTTGCAGCGTTTAGTGTCCCGACGCATGTCTTTCATCATATTTACAGGTACAGTGTTCGACTTCGAAGGGGGCTGTGCTTCTCCTTGGGCAAGGCTGTGTTCGTCGGGGCATGGTTCGGTGTCGGAATCCTACTCGCCGTTGAAGCTAGAGCCTCACTGAACAGATCGCCCGTCGTGTAGTAATTACCACTGTAGACATGGTCCGGCCATAATAAACTTCCAGTGGAACGAATAACACAAGATGTCCTGAATCACTTCCCTTGCACCCCCCCTCCCCCCCCACCCTCTCCCCCA